CTTGTAGTGTTTTATAAAATTCTGCCGGAAGTCCATCTGGGCCTGGTGCCTTTCCATTATTTTGCTTCTTGAGTGCTTCAGTTAACTCCATCATCGTTATATTGCTTTCTAACATTGTTTCAATCTCTTTAGGTATCTGGGGTAAATTAGCATTCTGTAAATACTGTTTAACTCTTTCCTCATCAATATTCTCTTGTGTGTATAGTTTCCCATAATAGTCTCGTATGATTTCCTTCTTCTCTTTACTACCATAGCAAACTTGGCCTTGGTCATCTATTAATTGCAATATTTTCCTTGATTCTTTCTCCTTTCTCAATTTATATGCTAACCATCTACCTGGTTTATTTGCATCTTCAAAGTAGTTCTGTTTAGCACCTCTGATTTTCTGTGCTAATTCTTATTTTTCTATTAGACCCATTTTATGTTTAATTATATCCATTTTTAACTTAATGTCCTTTTTCTGTGGCATTTTCTGTAGCTCTTTTTCGAGTCCTTTATACTCATCCTCTAATTCCTTAGAGGCTAGTCTTTCATGGTATTTCTTTTCCTTGTATAGTCTATTATCAAGCCTCTGGCATATGCCTTCATTGTATCCCATACGTTCTAGATTGATGTATCTTCTTTTTTGTTTTCTCTAAAGAAGAAAGACAGTTCTTTCTCCATCCACTGTGTGAAGTCTTTTTCCTTTAATATAGTACTATTTAACGTCCATCTAGATCTTCTTCTTTGTCCCTTCCATTTAATTGTCATTGGATTGTGATCTGCCCAAGTACTTGTTTCAATATTTATTTCTTGAATATTAGCTAACAATTCTGTTGACATCCATATCATATCTATTCTGGACCATGATAAATGTCTATTTGAGTAGAAGGTGTATTGTTTAGTTTTAGCATTTCTTTCTCTCCATGTATCTTTTAAGTATCTTTCATCTACCATTTTAAAAAAAGATTTAGGGAGAGTCTTTCTGTTTTGCTTTGTTATTTTCTGTGCTGTATAGTCCAGTTTATTATCTACAATTCCATTAAAATCTCCCATCATAATTAAATTAGCATAGTCCAGTTCAATTATTTTCATATGTAATTTTTTATAAAATTCTTCTGGATTGTCGTTCAGGGCATAGATTGCAATCAGGAGTGTTTTCATATTATTGTCTATTATTTCCACCATTAGTATTCTTCCATCATCATCAGTATAGATCAATTTCACTGGGATAATATCTTTAATGTATAAAACCACTCCTTTTTTCTTGCATTGTGTCAAAGAAGTAAATATTTTCCCTAATTTTGGCTGTATCAACAATTGTTCATGTTGCTTTTTGATATGTACTTCTTGGAGGCAGATTATATCAAATTTTAATTTCTCTAATTTATAGAAAGTTTTCCTTCTTTTAACAGCTGAGTTAAGTCCATTTATATTAATTGTAATCAGTTTTTTATCTTCCATGGTTATATTTTGTAGTTAGGTTTAGCAGCTCTCGTAGATCTTGGTTCACGTTGTTCTTTGGCTTCCACCTTTCCACCTACTGCACCTTCTTCTTTTTCAGTCGCCATTTGGCAGTCCTCTTGGAATTCAATTAGTGAGATTTCTTTTTCTGCCTCTTCCTCTTTCCCTCCAAAAAATTCTGTGTAAAATGATTCAGCTTTCTCAACTGAGTCAATTCTATGTCTCTGTTCTTGCCATGTGAACATTAAACCTTCTGGAATCAGCCATCTATAATTCACCTCTTTTTTAAGTAGCATTTTGGTCAGAAATCAGTATTCTCTTCTCATCTCTCTCATTCTTCTGGGTACTTGTTTCAGGACCACAATCTCCTTGTCTTTATATTTCAATATTTTCTCTCTTGCCACTTGCAATATTTGCGTTTTAATGGCTTTCTTTGTAAATCTGATGTGAACTTCTCCTGGTAAGCTATTTTTCATTGCATATCTTGTGAAGACTCGATAAACCTCATCTATTTCATCCATCATCTCCTCTTTAGTTATTTCCAAAGCTTCAGCCAAAATTTCTATCATTATCTCAGCTAGGTTTTGTTTATCTTCTTCAATTTTTTGGAATCTCTCATCATACTTCATCATCATTTTTTGAATGTTCTCCACCTTTTCGTCAGTTTTCCCTGTTCTTTGTTCAATGTTCTCTGTTCTCTTTTCAATATTCTCTGTTCTTATTTGAATATTTTGAATTCCTTGCATAATCATCTGCAGGGTCACTTTTTCCTGTTCTTTTTCTTGCTGTAACATTGTCTGTATTGAACGTTGTCCTCTAGATGGTGAAGAGGAAGAAGTTGAAGTTGAGGAATCAGGGGCTGTTAGTTTCCTACTCATTTCGGACAATTCAGAATCTTCAGGTTCTTCTGGACCTTAATCCACTTGTGAAATAACCAATTGCAATTCCAAATAAAAATAATAGGAAAAAAGAAACCAAATAGTAGCAATAATAATAATAAAAAAATTTCTTCAGGTTCTTGTACACCTTAATCCAATTGATTGGCTAGATAGCAGTAAAAACTCAAAAATGGAAGAAAAGACCATAAACACACACAAAAAAGAAAAAATTGTTAAATCCTGAAAAAGGCGGAAAAGTAAAAAGTAAAAAATTTAAAAAGAGAAAAGAAAAGTTCTTCAGGTTCTTCAACACCTTAATCCAATTAAGAGGTCTCGGGTATAAAAGGATGCATAAGAAAAAAAAGAAAGCCACAATAATAATAATAATAATAAAAACCTATATAGAAGGTAAAAAATATACAAGGGAGGGAGAGAGAAAAAAGAAAAGAGACTACTCCCTTAAAAAGAAAAGGAAGGAAATCATTAATACTAAAGCTTTTCCTTTAAAATAAAATGCAAATGTAAAAAATTGACTTCAAAAGACAAAAAGAAAGACAAAAATACAAAAACAAGTTCCAAAAGGCCAAAAATCCAAATAGCTATTACAAAAAGTAAACTAGTAAGGAGGGCGTTTGTTAAAGTAAGAAATAGCGCAGCTTAAAAAAAATAGAAAGAGCACACTGTACCTTGTTTGATTATCCAAGGCTTTTGTTAAAATTTATAACTCTCTTCTCCAGAGTCTTATCACCTTTTTTTTTCCTGTAAGCTTCAACACCAGACTCCAGCTATTGATAGAAACCCAGAAGAGCACCTGCAATAGTACTCTCCCATGCTCTTCCCTCTATCTTATCAAATAGCAATGTCCTTGAAAAGAAGTCTCAGTTCTTTCTCAGCTTTGTCTGGTCAAAAAAAAGAAATAGAATATTTCCATGCCTCTAGTTGGCAGTGTTACAAAGTTTCTTTTGTTTTCACTTTCCCCCTCCTTTTCCAAACAAAATATAATAAAAACTAATTAAAAAGGGAAAAAGATATTTAAAAAGATGACTAAAAGGGAGTCTCTAGCCTAGAATATTATAAAGTCAAAAAGGAGAGAAAGAATAGGTGAAAGAAGAAAAAAAACCCAATCCAGTTTCAAAATATAAAGTCATGTGTAGAAAATCCAGCAATGAGAAAATAAAAATATTACTTTGACATTCCTGTTTAAAATCGCCACTTAATCAATTCTGTCAAAACTTTTACAGATTCTTTCTTTTCCTTAGGGTGTCCTTTCAAATCTTAAAATAAAGAAAAAGTTCTCACCAAACCAGCACACTTTCTCTTTCTGTTCTCTTTTGTTTCGGAGCTGTCCCAACTTCAGCTTTAATGGCTGCCTCTTTGCCGCTGGCAAGAAGAGCTTCTCCTGGATCTACCAGGGACTTTGCGGTATCCCTGGGATCGACAGGATACGCTCTTTACATTCACCGTCTCTTCGGGACGGTTTAGATCCGATTGGACTGTCCAGGAGCAAAGATATCGGCAGCGATCTCAGACTGTCTACTATTGACCTCACCCCTTTCCTAAGAGGTCTGTAGGGGGCATGCATAAGCGCACCAACGTGCCTACCATCCCTGTCCTATTGTTTCTTTTATTTTTCTTATATGTACCCATTTCATGTATTCATAATATACCTATTATCTTGTAAGCAATTGACAAATCAAATAAAAATAAATAAATAAATAAGTTATGCTAACCTCCAAGATCGCATGCCGTATTGTCGCAACGCCAGCTCCGCCCCCCCCCCTAACTTTTTATTCTAGTTCCAGTCTGTAAGATTTTTCAATAGCTACAGCCTGATTTTCAGACAGATTTGTTATTTGATTATTATCCAAATGAGTATGTACAAGGTCAGGAAACACCCTTGGACACCCTTTCCCTACTGGCGTGTGTCTTCTGACACTTTTTTCCAGAAAGTAAACACAGTTCTTGGAATTGTTATTTGGAATAATACTCTGTACCCAAGTCCTGTCTTCTTTAGGGACAGATAAAGCTTTATGATAAGACAGGCAGACAAATACACACAGACACAGATAGACAGACAGACACCCCCCCCCCATATATTTTAGTACCAACCCAGAGCTTGTTTAAAACTTGATGTCACTTGTGAGTCTTCTCAAGTCAATTTATAGAACAATGTGATCTAAGAAAGATTTAAAAATCCAATGATTTTATAAGAGAATAGAAGTACAAGGCTTACAACTACAATTGAGCCCCCAAATTTACGTTGTTAAGTGAGAAATTTGTCAAGTGAGTGTGCCCCATTTTACGACTTTTCTCACCACGTTTGTTAAGTGAATCATTGCAGTTCTTAAGTTGGTAACACTGTTGTTGAGTGAATCTAGTTTCCCCACTGACCTCGCTTGTCTGAAGGTTGCAAAAGGAGATTCCCACGACTCCAGGACACTGCAGCCATTATAAATGTGAGTGAGTTGTCAAGCATCTGAATATAAATCACATGACTATGGGAATGCTGCAACAGTCATAAGTGTGAAAAATGGTCATAAGTCACTTTTTTTCAGTGCCCTTGTAACTTTCAATGGTCACTAAATGAACTGTTGGAAGTCGAGGACTACCTGTATCGGAATAGATGCCAGAAATTTTGAAAATTATATCTGTCTAACTGATTATATGTATATTTTTCAGACTTTGCTCTTTGGCATCTTATTGGCAATCACAGGAAACATTTTTATCAGCATCTCCTTGAATCTGCAGGTATGAAAAACTTCATTGTATTGCAAGCTATAGAACTATATGTAGATTGGGACAGAGGCCTTAGATGAAACTGGAATTTAGTCGCACTTAAAGCAGGCTTTTTAAAATAATAGATAAAATTGCTGTGGCACCTTAAATGTAACTGATTTCACTAAGATTGACTAAGTCTAGTATTAGTTGATGTTGTTCTAAGATAAGGTAGTATTGAGCTACATTATAGTTGCAATGTGGTTACTGTATGTATTCATATATTATTTATAATTTGTAAAACATGGCCCATACTTCTTTCTGATTTATGTAAATATGCATAAGTGCAATGCAAAACATATGTGGGCAATACATGGGCAAAAACATCTCAATGTAGAACTATAACCATAAGAACAAGAAATGCTTATAAAAATCATTTTTAATAAAATTAAGCCCATATATTAGAACGCAATGCTATATATATCTTTTGAAATTAATGTGTGTGTTTTATAGCATTACATCCTGTATTAATATCAACTTTTGGAGTGGGAAGTTATACATTCATAAATATAATGAAATAAATAAATCATAGGAACCACTTTTATGTAAAAGCAAATCTCAATTATTTGTATTCTGAGAACCAATGAAAGGTAGTCAATTTTTATAAAAGGTCTCAATTATATTTTTCGTTTCCCCCATGACTTAATAATTTGGTCAATTTATCTTGCCAATTGAGCCATTTAACAATTGAAAGACGCTTCTGCATTACATTTATGCCACCAGTCTTACGAAGCATGAAAGACATATCACCTTCAAGATAACGAATCTTAGGAATGAAATGACTTACAAAAAAGTTGAAAACCTAGAAGTGGCTTTTGGAGAGAAAGAGAAAAGGCAAACAGCTCTGTTGTTGCTAATGGAAATTTCTACTGGGTCAAGATAATTTCTCAATTAATATTCATGGGCATACACAACCAATATTCCATTTATTTTTTTGATAAATCCTTTTATTTATATTCTCTAGCCATTCCATGTTCCCCTTATTCAAGCAACAAACACACGACTGAAGTTTCCTTTCTGGTTTCTTAAAACAAAATGCCTATCTTGGCATTGATGTGAGACCCCCTTAAATATTCAAGGTTTCTGAAATATTTTTGTGTGAAAGTCCAAAATACCCAAGCATTACAAACTTGTATCACAGAATACTGACTCTTGATTCCTGATGTTTTTATTCTATAAATTCTTATTTAGAAATCCTATTTAAGATTCATATAATTGCCACAGTGTTGTATTATTTCACAAAGGTGGAAAATATTTGTAGTACCATATTAATGCTCACTTACCATTAATCTATTAATTCATATCTTTCATCCTCATATCTTACTTTCAGAAATATTCTCATCTTCGGTTGACCCAACAAGTCATTCAGAAACCTTGTTACAGAAGCAAACTCTGGTGGTGTGGAATTATATTTATGGGAATTGGAGAAATTGGGAACTTCGCAGCCTATGGATTTGCTCCAGTTATGGTTGTTGCTCCTTTAGGAAGTGTGGCTGTCATTGGTGAGACTTCTTATCCTTCACTTTATGTGTGTTAGAATGAACCCAAACAATACTGTGGGGCCCTTGTTGCCTTCTGAGCTTGGTTGTCCTCTTGAAAACATTCCATTACCCAGCTGGATAACATCATCAGTTCTAGAAGGAAATGGGATTTTCTAGCACTGATAACATTACCTAATTATGTAATGAAATGTTTACAAGAAAACAGCCAACCTCAGATAGTACCAGGGACCCCATAGTTCAACCCTGAGCTAGAAATATTCTCTTCCATTGGTACCAAACAAATGGTACCAAATTGGTACCAAAAGTTCTTTAGAAAGCATGTGGCTATGTCATAGAACTGTCCTGCTCAGAAATCGCAGTCTCCTCTTCTGAATGCTAGTTGGTCTCATTTTGTCTAGCACTGAAAATCGAGTTTGCTATTAATGTTCTCATACACATGACAGTTCTCAGAACTTTTCAGACAAATGACAGTCTTAGAAAAAATAATTCCATGAAGATGTCTTACTGTTGTCAACTTGTTCCTGCCAAGCTGAATACTGTCTTTGTTCTGAAACAGTAAAAAACAGAAGCAGTGCATGGTTGGTACATGTGACTGGTTCCACGCAAGCTGAAACATCTTAGGATGCTACTGATTGTAAGGGCTTATGCTAGTTAAACGCCAACGTCTTAAATTTCAAAATACATTATTACAGCCAAGGTGCATTTATTTAAAATGAAATAAAACATTGGATGACATCAAGATGGCCAACAAACTGACATCAAGATGGTCAACAAACAAACTATGGGAGATGTTGCATTAGTTGGTGCCTAATTTTCATTGCCACCACACAGTATTTTGTTATAATCTAGGTTATATTGTTTAAATTTATTGTTTACTGATTAATCAGATGGCCATATCAAATCATAACATGTCATCAAAATAGAGTAAAATTAATATAACATATCTGAAAACATTCCATTACCCATGGAATGCATAAGCATATTCAGTAAAATAATCCAATAAAATAATCTCCTTGGCAGTTGACCCCAAACTGATCTAGTTAAGAAGTTCTCAGTTGGATGGTTTTTGCTGTAAACTAGTCAGTCTTTCTGACTATCCAGATGTTTGAAGGAGGTGAGATAATCTATTGATGGGTTGTCCGGTCAATTTGGGTTATAGATTTAGAGTTTTGTGAAAAGTAAAATCATATAAATACGATATTACTTGTTCTTCCAGATGAAGAAGGGATAACATGTAAGAATGGTGAATGTGTGTATAGATGCTACATTGAATGACACATTGATCTGTTTCATTATCCCTTAGTTCCATAGGGGAAACACATTTTCTTATATGGGATCTTAGAATATGTATGTTCTTTGAAATAATGCCAAAAGCAAACTATTATGCCTAGCCCAGAAAATACACCTTTGCCTCTTGGGAAATGTACATGAGGAGAGATAACTGATTACTTTGTTGTAGTAAATTCTTTACTTCCATCTGGAATTCTATATTATTCAGTCACAGCATATTTGTATGTTTCATCTAAGGATCATATAAGCCTTGCTTATAACTCACATCAATTAATTTTTGTTCTATATCAGTTAAACTTGAGATATTTTTAGAGACATTTCATCTTTAGAGAAGATTTGGGCCTAGTTAATAAGTTACATCAGAACTGTACCACTGTATATTGCTGAGGCATTTTCACATTGTAAACCACTCTTAAAAAGCACAATACAAATTGTTCCACATAGATTGGTCGTTTTTGAGAAAAAAGCTCTTCATAGCTTATTTCTCACTAATACATAGTTTTCAATACGGACGCTATTTGGGAGTCAGTCCATTCCCCAACTCCTGCAGGCTAAGGGGATCCATTTGAGATGCAAGACTGAAATTGTGATGTGAGTGGATCTTGGAGGGAATAGTGATTTATATTCTGAAGTGTTTCCCCTCCACATTCACTCCTTTCGATCATTCTGTTGTAGTTTAATGTTGCTTGGATACCAGTACTTTTTGCTTGCGAAAGCTGTCAGCCTAAATGTTTCACATGAAGTGATGACCTAAGTAGATATATATTTTAAGTGCATCTCCAAAAGGATCACATTTTTAATCTGCATATAGAACTCGGTAGCTCTTTACAGCAACTATGTTTAAATTACTTAAAGGTGGGGGAATTATATTTCCCGGAGAAAGAGAATTCCTACTAAAACACACACATTTTTGCAGGTGGCTATTTCTCTTTTTAATCCCCTGAGAGCAAGTCAGTTTTCTATTTTTATGGATCATTGGCAAAATAAAATATGCTGGATATATTTTTTTCAGAAAGGAACAGCTGAAATAAGCAGATTGCCTGAATGTAAAGTCTTCTTACTAGAAATCATGAGAAATAATCTCCCAAAGACTGCCAAAGAGTTAATATAAAGCCTGATGAGAGCTTGTGGCAGATTGAAACAAAAATTAGGTGGTAGAATCCTAGGAAGATGCAAGTGATAATATTTGAGAGTTTGGCTGCTGTAGAGTACACAAATAAAGTGCTAAAATATGCTGGATATTTTTTTTTCTATAGTTTGCTATAACAGTGCAGTATTTTTTTTTCTTTGTGTGCTAAATACCTGCAGGGAGATATTACATAATGAGCTTATCACCTCTGCGCTTATTATAATTACATCAAGTATTTACCCAATGCTTATAAACACAAATGCTGTGAGTTGCCATCATCATCATGAGATATCTAATAGTGTTGTAATAAGCAAACAGATGCTTGTCACCAACTACAGGACATTTAAAAGGGAGTTGAATTTCAGTAGCTGGAATAATTTGCAAGAATTAGGGTAGAAGAGGAAGGTAAGTCACAGAATTAGACAGGTCATATTATTACAACACTAGAATCTGTGGCCAGACATGAGCCCAATAGTGATATGCAACTGGTGAAAAGAAAGAAATGGCGATTGGTGCTGAACAGATTAATGTGTAAGAGAATGAATATGCTATGTAAAATGTTGCCTTAGCAAGCACAGCCAGTTGACTTTCATCCAGTGCTCTCAGCATGACTCACTTTAAATTATAGATGCAAAGATGAGGAATGCATCAAAATAGGAGCTTGATAAAGGGCGAGGTGTTTTTTTTTCTGAAGAAGCCATCTGAGTGGACATAATTAATTCTTTTCACCGGTTTCTTAGTTGATGATTGCTTTGTACAGGCAAAATCTCTGTACTGGTTATTCGTTTTTATTCTCTTTAATTTAACCGTGTCAGAATTGCAAATGAATGCCTGACTTTGATGATCTTCTAATCTACATCCTTATAAACACAACTCAGTAACGCAGCGTGCACAGATTCCCCAAAGCTAAACTGAAGAAAAATTAAAATGGCCCATCTTTTACAAGGTTGTCAAGATTTTGTTGTTGTTTTCCCATGGGATTTGAATGCCAAAATATTGTGAACTTGTAGGCATTAAGAAAAAGTTATTTAGAACTTTTATGCATTGACAGGCCTCCCCATCCTGTAAAACTGCATGGTGGTTTCCACTCCCCAGACTTAAATCCCAAGTGTTCAGTGAACTAATAGAGGAGTAGTTGGAACACTTTAGATGCTGCAGTTAAATTTTCTTTCTTTAATTTACAATTTGTATACCACCAGCTACAAAGGGGCTTTTGGCAACTTATAGTCATAAAAAAATCCGAACTAAAACTACCTTCGTAATCTCCCAAACAGTGGCATCCGCAAGGGAGAGGTAACCCAGCACCTTTCTTGTTTATGTGCATTGACAAACAAGTGTACAGAGAGGCCTTGATTATGCTGCCATGGCCAACATCTTGATTCCCATTGCGCTGCTCCTAAACAACGGAGGAGTCCTAGATCCTTAAGAAAATTTATAGATGTAGTCCTAATTCTTCAAACTTAAAAGTTCTGAACAGTAAGCAATTTACCATGGCTAAGGCAGAGCAGAATGCTTTTTGCATTAGCCAAATGCTGAAAAGATTTAGTTGATAGAGCTTTACAATTTTGACCCTTCCCCTAGACAACCTATGCTGGGTACTTATTTTAGATGTCCCAGAATTCTCCATTAACCCACTTAGCTTTGCTTATTGCACTTTCAAAATAACTTATCAAGACTGACTATAGAGGGAAAGATTGATAGAGGGAGAAGGAGGGAGGGAGGGAGGAAGGATGGGAGAGAGAGAGAGAGAGACAGAGAGAGAGAGAGAGAGAGAGAGAGAGAGAGAGAGAGAGAGAGAGAATCTTACGTAATATTAACATTTCTTCCCCAGGTGGTGCCATTATAGCTGTCTTATTCCTAAAAGAGCATTTTAGCTCTCAAAGTATATTGGGTAAGTACCATAAACAATCATTGCCAAATTATTAATTGATGTATTGTTTATTTTGAAAACATTAACTTTGCAAATACATCACCTTCACTGTAATTCCGCACAATTTAAACATTAATATAATACAAAAAGTATTTTAATAAAATTTTGCTGTTGAATCTTTTGAATATATTGAACTTTTCTTACCATCTCAAACAAGTTTATATTAATTAATATAAATTTATTAATGTATAATTGATTAATAATTATTACCTTCAAACATCTTTATTCTTTTAGATAAGTTAACAGTCCAATGTTATTTTGGCACTGAAATTACAGCAGTCATTTGCAAATTTAAGATATTAAAGATGACTTACAGTCCCAAACTTTATTTACAATAATCCTTTTTGTAGTTTATATTACTTGAGTGGGACATTCTGACTGATTTTCCTTCTTAGGAACAAACTCCAAGATCAGATTCAGAAGCTAATTGTGCAAAAAAAGTTATCCTGTTTTCATCTGATGGTCTCCATTACAAATGGAGAATTTTCTGTCAGCTATATGTGAAACATATACAATTTATGATTTATTCATACATTTTATGTCTTCGCTACTTTGCTGATAAGTGAGCTAATTATTTTAAAAGGAATGGCTCATGTGGCTTGGGAAGTATGCATATGTTCAAGATTTTTTTGCCCAATAAATAATACAGAGGCATGCCTATGTGAATTGAGCAAAACCAAGAAATAGTGTATTTTACACCCACCATGGATAGTTGATGCCCAAAGAGTATGAGTCATAATGGCTGTGTGTAAAATTGTCCAGATTCACTATAAGAAAATAACTGATATTAGGATGCTTGCAAAGAAAGCATAGGAAGTTCAATTGCTGCTTCTGCCTTTGAATGTCCCATTATGCTAGATAATATCATCTCCCTTTTGTGTTTCCCCATTGGTAGCTGAGTCTTTTTCCTTTTCAACAAAAGTTGTTAAGAAGAACATGATGAAACTGGCACAAGGGGTGTTCTGATTGATAATGCTAACCCTAAAGAACAGTGTGAACATGTCCCTCAGAGCCTCTCCAAAAAGTTGGTGTCAAATACTAACTTGTCAAAGAGAAGAGCCAAACCGTTAAACATACAGAGAGTTACATCTTTGGTTATTTAATGTTTGATAAGATTAGGTTTAATTTAAATTTAAATTTTGTCCAGTTCTACTTACTTCCTTATTGCATTGAAGCTCCCCAGGACAGCCTTTGCTTCTTCTGGTCCAGGCCACCTACTTTAGATACCTCTACAGTATTTTATTACTTCCTAGTCCTGATTATGACCATGTTGGGAGCATCTGCTTGACTAGGGTGGAAAGCAGGGTCTCTGGAGAAACTTTTCATTAAACTCAACAAGGTTGATTATAAATAAATGTTATTAGTCCTGACAGTAGTTGTTCTGTTTATTATGCAGTTATAATTAAGCATTGCACAGACATAGAATAAAATGGCAATTAATGCAATAACATATTACAATTGATGATCACGTCATACAGTATTATAAAATCAGAAGCATCTAAACCATAAAATCCATGACATGTATTAACACCTGTACATTTAAAATAACAGGCAAGAATTTATATATTAATTGATTTTAAAAAAACTTCATGAAGGGGGCTCATGAAGGATAAATATTTTAGTGCCTTTGAACCTTTAAGGATGTGACTTCAAGTGTAATCTTGGTTGGAGTCAATTCCAGGGACCCAGAAGCAAGTAAGAAAAGATAACTATGATGTGGTTGATCCAGATGGTAGAACCATATGAACTTGACTGGTAATTATGTCAAGAACATAGGTCAAAAGAACAGTAATAGGTGCAGCATGTGAAATTTTTGTGTTACTTTTGAGAAGCCACAACTACTCATCACTTCTTCCTATTTAAATGAAACAGTTTTGGGTGCTTTTTCCTGCCCAAATTTCCCATCTTCATGGAAACCTCATCTTCTGTGAAGTATTCCCCTTTTCCACAAATTGCAAGAAATGACTTTGGACAAGCTGGTGTTCTCCAGATATATTGGTGTTACAAATCTCCCAGGCAATGCTATGTTAGAGAAAGCTGATTTTTGAGTTCCTATGCAAATAAGAAGTAGATAATACAGCCTATGGAATAGTCTCTGTAGACTGTAGACTAGATTGCACTAATCCTGGAATACGTAGTTGATTAATGGGATGTACAGAGAATTTATTTTTCAGCTGATCAGGTTCTTCTTAGGTGCTTCTCATAGTTTGAAGCCATAGTCTGTGTTGATTTATTTCTGTAAGTATCTCTGCCACAGAGGTTTTTAACGATGTGGCTGCATTCCATTAACATTAGCAATATCATGACAAAGAGAATGAGTATTAGGAGGATTTGCGTAAGCACATAAATACTTTATAGAATTCTGCCACGCCTCTGCATTTTTCTCCCCCTTTCAAATAATCCCATTAATATTTCTGTGCAGTCTTTTGTACCCCAGATATTTTCCATGGGTTGACTCTGGAAGCACAGGGTTTTAAACTCAAAAGAAAGAAGATATTTTTCTGTTTAAAGAATCCTAATTTAATGTTCACATTTTGTTTACAAATAAAATCTTGAAAAAATAAACAATAAACCTTTTAGGTCATTTCTATTAACATTTACAAAATTGCTACATAATAATGATTTCCTCATTTTTTTTTAAAAAAAATCAAGATTATTTGGGAAGTGTTGTGGTCTGCCGGCAGCCTGTGGAGACGGCAGCAGAATCGGACAGTGGGGTAGAACATGGGCCAATCCGGGAGTCTGGGGAGGACTTGGACAAGGGTCCTGCATCCGATACAGAAATGGGGCCAGGACCATCTGGGAGTTATGTGCTGACTCTGGAGCCTCCAGAATCTGACAGCAGTGAGGCAGAAGAACAAGGGGAGCCTGTTCCCAGTGCGTGTATGCACAAAGCTGCCAGAAGGCAAGATCAGCTAAGACAAAAGGGGCAACTCGGGAGTAAGGCTTGGAGGTGATTGCCTCTCCCATGATATAAAGGTGCAAAGGGACAGGAACCTTGCAGGAAGCAACACTGTTCGCTCTGTTTGGATTAAACCTTGAAGCTCTGTGTGGACTTTGTATTTGGTTTGGCTGTTTACAGTTAATTTGGCACTTTAGTTGTTGGCAGCAATTCAAAGGAGATAAAGGTGGGTGCTTATCTCGAGGGATTGTTTGGGACTCAATACGAGCTGGGAATGAACATAATTCCCAGCTTTGAAATAAAAAGAGAGTTGTTTGGACTAAGTGTGTGCTTAATTACTAACTCAGGAAGCCTTGGTCAGAACAGGAAGGGAGTCCTATGTATAGTATAGAAATAAAATGATTATCTAAATGGATTTCCCTTTGACATAGATTTAATAATCATTTACCAGAAAATATAACAAGATCAATATAAATATAAAATATAATATAAATAAATATAAGAGTTATTAATGTATATGTGATATATTGAAGTTGCTCGTATCAATTTAACATCTCATTTTGTTTTATCTTTTTGTTTGGGTTGCAAATTAATTTAACAGTGCAATTATTTATTGGACAGGTGTGTATTATCTTTTTTTTTATTGTGCGTTGTTTTAAATGCAATAACAGAAAAAATGTTTATTTAAATGTGTTTCAAGGTGGAACAGTGATGCTTGTTGGAATGTTTCTACTGGTGACTTTTGCGCCTCATATTATCCAAAAAGTCACAGCAAGGACGATACAGACTGATTTAGTTAGTTGGCAGTTCTTGATTTATATGGTGAGTAGAAAATTCTTAATTCAGTATATAGAAGCATGACCTGTAACCAATTTTTACACCGTACAGTAGTCTGTTCCTGTTCAGGCTTCAAGCCAGTTTTGCCTTTTTTCCCCTTGATTATTTCACCCTGTTTCCCCTCCTCTCCCATTTCTGTCTCTCCCACCTGAGGACCTTTGATTGCGGATGGGGCCATTTTGGATGCATAAATTTGTTGAGGAGTCAAAAACTGTGTCAGGTGCTGCTCCATTCAAAGTCCAAGAAAGAAATGCTTAGACTCCATTATATAGAAAAAAGATATTTTTTACTGGAAATCAAGTGGTAGCATCATAACAATTCTGAATCTGAGGAATTGCATGCGAAAAACACTTATACAAAGTGATGGTAACATTCCCACCCACAATTGTTCATCCAATTGAAGTTGTGTATAATGTCATGTGGGGCATCTTCAGGTGGTGATGCAGACATCTGCCTGTTGACCTTGGCCTATTTAGATAAAGAGTTGCGACTGCGCAGTAAGCAAGCAAGCAAGCATAAACAATAAAGCTTTCCCTCATGTTATACAGTTCATTCTCTAAACCTCCAGCACATTTCCCACACCCACAAAGCCTAATTATTTCACTACCACCCATTACTATGGTAGCCGAAAGATGCGAAGGAAAGGAATCTTGAAGGCTGACAATTGTTTCTCTCATAACACATTCTCTAGAATAAGAATGTTGATACAGGCAGTCCTCATCTTACAACAGTTCATTTAGTGACTGTTCAAAGTTACAATGGTACCGAGAAAGGGGACTTAGGACCACTTTTCACACCTATGACCATTGCAGTATTCCCATGGTCACGTGATCAAAATTCAGATGCTTGGCAACGGAGTCATATTCATGACAGTTGCAATGTCCTCGGGTCGTGCAACTTTCTAACAAGCAAGTCAATGGGGAACCCAGACTCACTTAAGAACCATGTTTCTAACTTAACCATTGTAATGGTTTATTAACAATTGTGGCAAGAAAGGTCGTAAAATGGGGCAGAACTCACTTAACAAATATCTCACTTAGCGACATATATTTTCAGCTCAATTGTGATTGTAAGTTATGGATGACCTGTGTTTACTCACTTCGGCAGCTATTCTATGCACATTCCTTGGGTCCAATAAAAAGAATTGTTGAGTACTTCTCTGTGAGAAACAATCCAGCTTAAAAAGAAAAAGCTAGTCTATTTTCACCAAGATACAATGACAGATAAAGGTTAGTGAAACAAAAATAATATTTATATCTTTGTGTAGATTCAGGTTTCATATTCCATAGATGGCAATTTGCCAGACTAGTGACAAATCATGTGACTAGTTATTTGAAATCCTCAAGGATTGAGAATAATGAAAGATTTTTCGGACAATTGAAGCACAAAGCACCAGGGAGCAGGCCAAGAAACAATGGTTGGGAACTAACCAAAGAGAGAAGCAACATGGAATTAAGCAGAAACCTCCTAACAGGGAGGACAATTAACCAGGGGAACAGAAATTGCCTCCAGAAATCCTGGGCGCTCCATCACTGGAGGTTTTAAAGAAGAGACTGGACGGTCACTTGTCTGAGATTGTATAAGTTCTCCTGCTTGAGCATGGGGCTGGACTAGAACACCTCCAGGGTCCCTTCCAGCTCTATTCTGTTCAAACCCATTCAATCTGATGAATCCCCAAATATAAGGTTTTTTTACGTTTGCATTTTGCTGAGAATTATATTTTTTTAAGAAAAAAAAAGCTTATTTTATCACTCATGCGATAGCTACCATGTGTTTCCAATCTCAAAATGGGGGTGGAAGCTCTCTGGCTGATTTTCGGTAAGCTCAAGTAAGATGCCAGGTCCACAAGAAGGGAACAAAAGAGCAGTTTCAGGAGCTGCATGTTAGTGCAAGTATGAAGTGGATAAAGACATTTGCAACACTCCTAGCAAGGCCAACTGTAGGTTCTGGTTTGATGAGCTCTATGAATTACATTAATGTGAGTGAAAATGTACCATGGTGAGTAGCATGTTGGTTAAATCTGGAAAGGAGAAAGAGCATTTCCACAGGAGAGAGGAAGCAGATTCGTCTAATCTGTAATATGATTAAAATATTTTATGCAACATGGAGCAAAAGTGTTCTGTTCTCTTTGTGTTTCTTCAGAATTGTAAGTGAAAATGTGCCTTGACAAAAATTTTCACTTTTCTAGCCTTTAGACCAGGGGTCACCAACCTTTTGGACCTCCGGGACTACCAAATTCATAATTTTAAATCCCGCGGACCAGGGACCCTGGGAAAATCCCCAAAAAAGTCTGCAGGAGAATTCCCCAGCCCATTTTCCTACCAATCAATCATTCTTTATTTGAGATTGGAGGATACCATCTCCAGCTCCGTTTTCGGGAGGTGGGGGGAGAGAGAGAGACTTTTGGTTTCATGTTAAGGAAAGCAGCAGAAGCAGCAGAAGTCTTTCTTTCTCTCCCCCAAACTCTGCCAGAAATGAGTCTTTGTGAGATTTGTCATGCCGGTGCAGCCTCTTGGAGTAGAATGCCTTGCAGGGTCCCAAAGATTTATTTCTGGTGGAGTTTCGGGGAGAGAAATAAAGACTTAGCTGCTTTCCTTGCATGCAACCAAAAGCAGAAGAAAGAAGCAGAAAGAAGCAGCCTGATGGTCAGGCGTGTGGGTGAATGGGGCAAGTTCCCCCCCTCCACCCTTTCCCCCTCCCCTCACAACCTCGTATTGTTCGCAATGCAAGCGACGCAAGCCTTGTGTTCCCATAGGCCATGTGGGCGGTGCAGCCTTGTGTTCCCATGCAGCCTGGATTAATTGCTCTGGGGAGTGCTTTGGGGGTGACATTTCTCTGCGGACCACCAAAATTTTCTCGCGCGTCCTCAGCCCACTGGTTGGCTACCACTGCTTTAGTTTAGACCAACCCAGGAAAGTTTACGCTTAGAATTAGGAATAACAAACTCCAAGTGTTGAAGCTGAACAAAGATTGTCTACTCTATACCAAATTATAGTGGTCCAGCTTAAGCCCAATTATTGATTTATACCCTATGTATTTAATATACAAATCAAAATTATTTGAAGGCATTTATCATAGGAACTGTTGTGTAAATGTTCTGCATCCTTCTGCAGAAAAGTAAAAGAGGGAACTTTTTTCAACCATTGTTACTTGGAGAAGAGCAAAGCTTTCAGGGCTATTGAGCAAAATGAAAATTAGGAGAGAGAGTTTGAGAGGCTGGTAAAGGAACCTCCCTCGTCTCCTTATAATGAAACATGGGAATGAATAGCCGAGAATGCAATTTCTGCAGTGCAAGTTTCTGTCCGCTATAGCAAGAGTCCCCAATCCCCAGTCCGTGGACCAGCACCAGTCTGCGACATGCCAGAAACCTGTTCGTGAAAAAAAGCGAAGTCCCATCTGCGGGATGCAGGCAGCATACAAAACCACCCACCCCCTCCAGTCCGCAGAAATATCTCTCCACAGAAACTATGTGGCTTCCAACAGTGCTCTCTAGATCAGGAGTCTTCAAACTTGACCGCTTTAAAACTTGTGGAGTTCAACTCCCAGAACATCTCCTCCAGTCATGTTAGCTCAGGAATTCTGGGAGTTGAAGTCCACAAGTCTTAAACTTGCCAAGTTTGAAGACCCTTGCTCTATAGCATAGAAGAAAGGTGGAGATCAATCTTTATCTCTGTATCTTTTTAGCTCTCTAACTAGCCATCCATCTATCATCTATTATCTATCATATAGTAGCTGTCTGTCGATCTATCTGCAATCTTTATCTCTCTGTGTATCTTTTGTCTATCCATCCATCCATTTACCATCTCTTGTCTGTCTGTCTGTCTCTCTCTCTCTCTCATCTGTCTGCAATCTTTATCTCACTATGTATCTATCCATTCATTTATTTTCTATTGTCTGTGTCTGTCTGTCTGTCTATCTCTTTCTATCTATTATCTATATCTACAATCTTTATCCATCTCTCCACCCACCCACCCACCCATCTATCCATCATCTATTGTCTGTCTGTCTGTCTATCAGCAATCTTTTTCTCTATCTATTCGACCATCCATCATATCTATCTATCTATCATCTATCTATCTATCATCTATCTATCTATCTATCTATCTATCTATCTATCTATCTATCTATCTATCTATCTATCTATCTATCTATCATCTATCTATATCTATCATCAATCTATCTGATTTATATGGCCACCCATGAAATAAAAAAGCAATTGGATATTGTACAACAATCTTCTCTGTGGTTTGTGAAGGCGAGAGCATGATTTGTTTAGAAAAAGTGGTTCTGAGAAGAAATAACAGTGAGAATGGTGTCTTTCACATCTATAAGAGCTGAAAGGTGTACATGAAATCAGTCTTTGTTTAAAAGAATTTTTAAAAAAGCTTTCCCTTCATGTCTATTATCTTGCTATGGGGGAAATTGCTTTGCAAGTATAATTTATATTTCTGTTGCCTCTGGGACAAACTATGAAGTTCAGCTGAAAAATTACTTGAGACTGGGGAGGCGAAAGAAAAATAGGGATTGCTTACCCACTCATTTGTCATACTACAAATGGAGTTTTGTATTAAAGTGGCACCAAATGTTTATAAATGAATCTCTCTCACATAGAACCATATAAACCATCAAAATGCAATTGTAAATGAAGTGAAGATATTTAATTTTGGAGATAAGGACAAGAAGAGAGAAGGAGCAGCTCTTTTATGAAAAGTAGAATAGTGAATGATTATAGCCCTTGAGTTGATTCAGATTTCTCCTTTCTAAACACCAGTATTAAAATACATGTTGAAAACCCTAAAGTAAGAAGTGTCTCAAGATGCTGATAAACCTAATCAATCTTTCTTTTAAAGAGAAGAGTACATGATTTACTGACAGAGGAGAATATTGGTAGCCCAGAATTGAACTGTGTGTTGTCTGAGTGTGGCTGTTTTCTTGTAGACATTTCATTACCAAACTAGGTAATATCATCAGTTCACTGTTGATGTTTTCATTACCCACACAGCTTGATTTGTGTTTCACACATTAAGTTATCACATCTTAAGTTATCTTTGAATTATGTACTTCTCTGATTTTCTCAATGCAGTTTTTGGCTCAAAAGACACATATCCAAAAACATACCTTAGCAGGAAATCTAAATCTAAATTTTCATCCATATTTTGAATCTGGAAAATGAAACGGAACAGATTTATGACCGAACACATGTGAAACTCATCTGGATCAAAAGTAAACAAGTTGTCCATTAGAAGAAGTGGCAATTAGTTTATTGATTTTCTTCCCCAAACCCCAAAAACTTTAACCTTAGACTGTCTACTATTGACCTCACCTCTTTCCTAAGAGGTCTGTAGGGGGTATGTATAAGCTAACAAATGTGTCTACCGTCCCTGTCCTATTGTTTCTTTTTTTTTCTTATTCGTATCCATTTAATGTATTCATAACTATGTTTATACTTATACCTGTTATCTTATAATCGCTTGACAAAATAAATAAATAAATATTGGCTATGGTTTGGAGCCATAGGTCAGAGCATGGAAACATTTAATGAACACTTATGTATTCTTCTTGCTTTGCACAATGCCCAAGAAAAAGAATCTTAACTTGGAGCCCTGTTTTAGATACAAGTGTTTCCAGAATCATTTCCAGGCATCTCCAGGTAAAAGAATCAAGCGGCAAGAACAGATAACAGATAATCAGAGTTGGAAGGGACCTTGTAGGTCATCTAGTCCAACCTCCCACCCAAGCGGGAGACCCTACACCATTTCTGACAAATGGCAGTCCAATCTCTTCTTGAAAATCTCAAGTGATGGCGCTCCCACAAGGCCATGCCAGAAAGAAAATATGCTTCTGAGATCTTAAAAGAATTGTTTACCCAACTGTTCAGACTTAATGCTAAATGGTGCAAGCCTGAATTAGCCAATTTTCTAATCAAGGACTCCATAAAATAGTTTTATAAGTGTATAGCCTTATAAGTGTTACTCCAGAATTACAGCACTAATGCTATAAAGATACTCTGTAGAATCATCTTCCCAAATCTGGTGCCCTCTGGATTTATATGTCACCCAATACCTTACATTTCAGCCAGGATGGTCATGCATGTGGAAATTGTAGACCAATATAGCTGGAGGAGATCAAATTGGTGAAGGTTGAAATTCAGTAGCTAATTCCAGAGCAATCTATGGCCCAGATGAAAACTACTTTGAATAGGAAAGTCATGCAAGTTGGGGTGTTGCCGTTAGCTGTGAGACTGCAGGTCTAGGTTATATGTAGTGTTAAGGCAGTCCCATCTGTGAAATGTCTTTCAAAGCAACCTTTGCTTAGCATACGATTAAACCCTGCTGTATATTTTTCTTTTATGCAACCTTTTGACAAGTAGTTGGCTAGGCAATGATTGAAAGCCAGCATATGGTTACAAATGCATTGCAGGTGTGTTGAACTGAACTATAAGTTTATTCTATGTTTTTTAGAGCTTAAGAAGAAGGTAGCTGAATAATATGAATGATGAATAAGATAGGCCATAGTTTAAGAATCAGAGCCTACAACTTGCTTATAAAGGAGTACTCTCATTGCACTTAGATTATATTTGGCTTTCTTTATTTCCTCTCCTAACCAAGATGATTGTGTATATTTATGGCTCAGTATTATTAAAGTTGGATGCCTTTGTTTGCCAGATTATTACAGCAAAGCTCCCATTCCCCCAGTTCTCCTTCCTTTGTTTAAATCTTTCAAGGCACGTGAAAGGGTAAGATAACATAGGAAAAAATGGGAATTTATCTTTGCCTTTGGAAATGTTTATGGAGATAATTGCTTGATAAATGTGGGGATGTTACTCTTCTTACTCATCTTAAAAGAGGAAAGTAGATTGTGTTAAAGATTTTGTTGAAAACGTTTCCTTTTTAACAATTTAAGCTGGTTATCTTTTTTTCTATTTTCAGATCGTGGAAATAGTAGCTTTCTGCATTCTTTTGTATTTCTACAAGAGAAAAGAAGCAAAGCACATTGTAGTTTTGTTAACAATGGTAGCACTACTAGGTAAGAACATGGTTCAAGCTTGTGGTTTGTTTTTGTTTGTTTGTTTGTTAAGTATATTCACACCAGTATTTACTCCACACATTTTGGTAGCTGGTGATAAATTAGCATGGATCCAGAACTAAGGTCCTGTGCTGTTTCTCCTCCATGCTAGAATAGAGGTTCTTATATTAAAAACATTTAAAAATACACTTATCCTCAACTTAACAACAATTGTTCAAAGTTACAATGGCACTGAAGAGAGTATCTGACAGCCAGCTTTGTATTTGCAGCACCCCGAAGGTCATAGGATCAGAATTTGGTCGCTGATCAACCAGCATGTATTTATGACAGTTGGAGCATCCTGGGGTCACCACTGATTACTGTTCCAGCCAGATATCAATAAGCAAAGTCCATGGGTCAAACTTAAGTCAAACTTAAGTCAAAGTAAAACTTAATGATGGCCTGATGTGCTTAAAAACTGCAGTGATTCACTTAACAACCATGGCTAAAACTGATCATAAAAGTAGGCATGGCTCACTTAACAACCACTTTGCTTAGTTACAGAAATTCTGGTCCTTAATCCTGAATTCTCTATCACTAACCCTTTAGTGGTCATAAGTCAACAAGTAGAGCCATGTTGGCGCAATGGTTGGAGTGTGGTACTGCAGGCTACTTCTGTGGATCACCGGCTGCCAGCAGTTTGGCAGTTCAGGTCCCACCGGGTTCAAGGTTGACTCAGCTTTCCATCCTTCCGAGGTGGGTAAAATGAGGACCCAGATTGTTGGGGGCAATAGCCTGGCTCTGTAAACTGCTTAGGGAAGTTATTGAAAGGTATGCACATGGCTCTCCTGAGCTCCGTTTTCACAGGCAGAGACACCACAGGCTGGTCCTTTGCTGTTTTCAGGGTGCTGTTTTCAGATCCAGCCCCCAGGCCTTGAGTTTGACACCCCTGGTGTAGGGTTTCCTGCCTAAGCAGGGGTTGGACTAGAAGACCTTCAAGATCCCTTCCAGCTCTGTTATTCTAATACATTTGGAGAACACAAGTTTGGAGGAAGCAGAAGCAGTATGCTCCACCCCATATTTGGGGAGACCAGGTTGCCCTGATAAGAAACACTTGTAGAGCCCATGAGAGTACTTGTTTTGGCTCAGTTTGATCAATATTGGGCAACAATTTTACATCATTCACATATCTGCATGATACAGTCATACTCTTGCATTCAGTTTAATCCATGGGTTATGTTTCACACAACATTCCAGTATGTTTTGTAAGAGATCACAAGCTAGTGATGCTGGTGGATCTGGATTCTTTGAATTTGGTTTTAAGGTATCATACAATCCGTATGATGCTACATTATTTACAAGCATTTCCAGATGTATCTGAAGACATTTAAGTCTCTTGCAACTGCATCGTTTGCAATAGGAGGTTTTGCTGGCCATCCCGACTGACAATAATAAGAGTTACAGTCCTGTCCTGTCCTAGGAATAATGTCAGGCACAAAAGACCAGGTCCACATGTAAAGATCCAGTTCAACAAATGTTTTGCTAAGCAGCCTATGCACGGTAATCTTCTCAATTAATAGCTAGCATTGCTTGGAGTTAGACAAGGTGATTGGACTTAGTCCCCTTGTGGCTACATAGGAAATCTAGGCTGATCTCTCTTTTAACTCTATTGTTCAGTTCTGCCCCTCCTCCTACAGGTTACCACTCTGGAAAAAGCTAGCATTATTTATCTGGCCTTAAAACTGCTATGAATTCATATTTACAACTTTATCTAATTATCTTAAAAATAATAAACTTTTGATCAGCTATCCGTCCATCCCATCCACAATGACAGTGAACCAGCAAATGATTTTGCAACAAAAACGGCTTGTAACAAAAATAGTTTTGGAAAGCTTATAAAAAGGGTTTTCTATTTCTGTTCTCTTCCACGCTCCACGTATACTGATTTGCTTGTGTAAAGGAGGATGGGAGAAAATCAGAGTGCCTTTTGTATCTGACCTACTTGCCTTAAATAAGGTCTGTACTTCATAGGCATGAAGAAAAAAAAAAGATTAAATATATTTTTATTAGAAAAGAGATTGGATAAAACTGTAGATGGTTTGAGTAATGCAGCTCTGCAAAATGACTCATCGCACAGCACTTTGTTTCATGCATAATCTGGGATTTATAACATGGTTAGAATCAAGAAGCAAAATAGGGACAATGAAAAGTTTTCTGCTTTCAAAGTGATGTCATCTTTTTTCCAGCTGCTGCCATTGTAGCTAAGTAGAAATTGTTATCAGAGTCCACAAACCAATCCATCCTCTTTTGGTTCTACATTAGCTAGAAAAATAACTGCTGCATTTAAATACTTGATGCTTTTAGGGGCTCCCTCGGCCTGATAGGAATGGAAATGGTCTCACCATCTCTGATAATACCATCAGTTTTAATATCTTCACTTCTAGCAATACATCTGTCAGCAAGCAGAATGGAAGCGGCAAGTTTTATTGGGAAAAAATTACATCAGTGGACTCTCTCGTTCCACAAAGCCACATGCCAACATTTTAACTTGCTGAGGTCTACCCTCTGTTATTTTACCTTGGTTCTCATGTTGGACAAAAGAGTTTCAGAACAGTGCCAAACATCTGAAATTGCCCTTGTGAATAAAAGTGCAACCACAAATTATATACACACATAGAACGGTTGTTCTGTATTATGGAAAAGTACAATTTTTCAGTTAGTATCTAAGTGGGCTTAACGAAGAGGCACACATTGCATATATTAGTGATGCAATTTATGGCTGTGGGGAGGCTGGATAAGTTTGTCACCACAAGCAGAGAATTAGGAATGAACGAGATTATGTTTTCTTTTATATATCCTGACAAAAGATCATTTTGTTTTTCAAATGAATTCAGTGGTGTGATTAGATGGGAAAGAAAGACTAGTGCTTATATGCTGATCATACAAAGAAAACCTATTTATTCGATAGATTCAAAATCCAAAGATTTATTGATCCAGGCATTATATACTGTACCAATACAATACTCTTAATAAGTTCAATCGATCCATTGCTCAAAATTGGCAATATATATTGATGTATGATAATAATCTTACTGCAACACCATAGTAAGTTTTCATCTACTTTAGATAAAAGGGACTGTTCATAAATAAACTACCATTTCCATGTTATCAATTCTTAAATGTTTTCAGTAGAAGGCCATTGGTAGTTATTATGTTTTGAACTATATGAGCAAACCTACCAATTTTTCACAATTGGTTGATTGATAAAATTATTTTTATTAATGTTCTGTTTTAATCGGCTTCTCTTAATTTTTCTGCAGCATCTCTGACCATCATTTCAGTGAAAGCAGTGGCAGCCATGCTGACATTTTCTGTGAAGGGAAACATGCAGCTAACTTACCCTATTTTCTATCTTATGCTCATTCTAATGACATCAACTTGTATATTTCAAGTCAAGTAAGTTTTTAGAAAACGTAGAATTAATGTACTGTTCTCTCCATTTTTCCATATTCTTTTAATACTTGGTATTGTAACGTAAAAGAACAGTCAGGTCCTGCCAAATGTGGACACAGATGCATTTATGAGTTTGGGGAGAAACCTGTATTTGTGAGGCTTTCAGAAAGGCAAACAAAGAGAAGATATGAATGTAGATTATAAATTCCTGTAAGCATAGAAAATTTAGATCACGATTTTATTGTTCATAAATTCTAGAACTCAGGAACATTTGATGAAATTGCCAGAAAAGAAATTTAGGGCTAAGATAAAGATGTAGCTCTTTAATTGGCCTAGGCCTAAGATATAGATATAGAAGTATGGGTCAATTAGCTCAGACTATTTTAGAAGGAAATTATATGTGGTCAAGGAAGAAAGGCCTTCCCCAAACTAGTGACCTCCTATCAACTTCGAGCAGTAGTCCAGAGAAGAAGTACATGCAGAAGAAGTAAGCTCTACTTTATTGTAAGGTTGCAAGTCTGGAAATTACAAAAAAGAGCTTGTAGACAAACTTCATGCAAGACTTATTTTGATGCACCCTCTGTTTTTGCGACATTAGAAAAATAGCTAAAATCAGAGGAATGCAATAACTTTGAAAATCTTGACTATTCCATAAACATGCACGTTTTTTAAAATTATTTTGGATCCATCAGACTGCTCAGTTGTTGCTAAAAAAACCCTCACAATAATTCCTAATAATTCCTGTTAAAAAACAGATTAGAAACTGGACTTTAACAAGATATCAAAAGGCTATTTTAGTATATTTTAGTATATTCAATGGCACATCGTCTTCTGCAGGGTGAGGACTTTTGCATTCAAATTGTGATGAATATTTCTTAAGACATACAGTAGTAGATTTCCACCACTTTTATTGTACAGTATTTTAACAATCTGGAAGCCTAAAAATTGAAATGCCTGGTGGTCAGGAAAGAGGTGCCATCGCTTATAAAATGAAATATACTGTGTTTCATTATCTTTAAAAATCTAATAAATACTCACTCTAGTAAAATTAGAATAGAATGTACAATGGCATGCAAAGGTTTATCCAACATCAATTGTATTGGTCAATGAATCCTTACTCTGACTGGCCTCGCCCCCATCTATTCTCTGCCTCCCGAGTCCCAGCTGATCGGCTGGGTCTTCTTTGGTTGCCCCACACAGGAGAACGGAGCTGGAAAGCAGGTTAGTGGGGTGGGGAGGGAATGGAGATTTTGCAGTATCCTTCCCCTGGAGTGGGGTGGGAATGGAATGATGACCCAACATTTACACGTTACACAAGGTTTCTGCAAATTGTGATATATAGCATAAATGTGTAGGGGAACAAAGATTAAAAACAGCAAAACAATATGATACAGAGAATTGAACACCTTTGGGGTTGGGGCTTTGTAATACCTCTGGCAGAAATAACAGCTTCTATGTGTTTTCTGTAGGTTGATAAGAATGCTTTTTAGTTATTAGAGAGATATAATCCATTCTAGTTTTCAGATGTTTTCTCATTCTTCCTTGCAGAGCTCTTCTATCTCAGAAATATTTTTCAGCAAGTACTAAATGTTTTGAAGTCTCTTCACAGATGTTCAGTAACATTCAGGTCTAAGACTATGAAGGCCATTCCAAAATGTTATCCTTTCTTGTAACTATATGCTTACTGTAGTGTCCAATCTCTTTCCAGATCTATTTTTTCACTGAGGATATGTTAGTTTCTAGGGTCTGTTAATATTTAGTTTTATCCAGTGGTGGGATTCAAATATTTTTACTACCAGTTCTGTGGGTGTGGCTTGGTGGGCATTGCGTGGCTTGGTGGGCATGGCTTGGTGGCCGTGGCAGAGGTACGATACTGCAAAATCTCCATTCCCACCCCACTCCAGGGGAAGGATACTGCAAAATCCTATTCCCTCCACACCCCACTAACCTGCTTTCCAGCTCTGTTCTCCTGTGCAGGGAAAGCAAAGAAGACCCAGCTGATCAGCTGGAACTCGGGAGGCAGAGAATAGATGGGGGCGGGGCCAGTCAGAGGTGGTATTTGCCAGTTCTCCGAACTATTCAAAATTTCCTCTACTGGTTCTCCAGAACTGATCAGAACCTGCTGAATACTACCTCTGGTTTTATCCCTTTTTCCTTCCATCTGCACAATACTGCTTGTGCCACTGACTGCCACTCAATTCAAAAACCCTTTAACTGTTGTTAAAGGGTTTTTTCCCCCTTTAATTTCATCTCCCCATTTTTCTCCAAATTTATCTTGTGTAGTTGTGGCTGAACACTTCAGTGTTTGTTTTATCACCCCAAAGCCTTTCTTCTAAAATGTGTAATGCTTATTATACTTTTCTTTTGCATATTTTAGACAGTTTTGTGATGAGTTTGGAGGAACAGTTTCCTTTTGCAAGTCAATACACGTAATTTTAAAACCAATATTGTGTGGTGAGCAGCTGTTTTAGGATCAGCTAAAGTTTTTAGCAAGTTATTTGCAGTGATCTGTGAGTTGTTTTGCAGACCTGACACATTTTCAGGCAGTGGTAGCAAATATTTTCTTCCAGATCTTGCTTTGACATCAACTCTTTTATGTAACTTTGTTTCTCACAGTTGAAATTGCTAGCTGGAAGCATTTAGAGATTTTTTTTAATAGCCTTCCCATACTTTGAAAGAGTGAATTATCTTTATTTTCAAATATGCAAACAGCTGCTTGGAAGATTCTGTAACTTTTGAATAGATACAAAAAAAAAAAAAAACATAGTCAAAGAGGTCAGAAACATCAAAATAAATGTTGATCTAGGGAATTGTCTGATCTGGATCAGTTGTAAGTCTATCAAGTCAATCTCGCTGGGCCTTCTTAATAACTTTGTTTATAGTGGAACAGAATCAGCTGAAAAGATGTCCAACCTCTGCACTTGATCTTTTCAGTTTTCTTATTTTAAATTTGTAAATGATGGCATGTATTTATAACAGTTGCAACGTCCCAGAGTCATCTTTTTGCAACTTCTGACAAGCAAAGTAAATGAGGAAGCCAGGTTCACTTAACAATTGTGTTATTAACTTAACAACTGCAGTGATTTACTTAACAACTATGGCAAGAAAGGTTGTAAAATGTGGCAAAACTCACTTAACAACTTCTTGCTTAGCAATGGAAATGTTAGATTCAATTGTGGTTGTAAGTAGAGGACTACCTGTTTCAACATTTACATTCAGGCAATGCCCAATACCTAATAACATAAAATATCCCTATAGGTGTGGGGGGAAATAGAGCTTATGATGGTTTTTATCAACATTACTAAATGAAAATCTCCCTTGAATTATATCTGAGGGTTGCATAGACAAAAATTTATTGGTAATCCATTTCCCCCCCATTCCTCAATCTAATGTACATTTTGGGGCATTTCCAGGTAGCCTTCTATCCAGATGCTAAGCATTGGCTTTTTCAAGATCAGGCAAGATCAGCTAGGTGCTGTCATCTGCCACATTGTTATTATTTTTAATTAAATATATGAAGTACAGGATGAGTTTATTTCAAAATACAATGTTTTTGCTAGGGAAGAAGTGTTGAAATTCCTAAAAATGTAGGAATTATATCTTGGGCTTTAATTTCTTATTTATGTTACATTGACATTCTTCTTACAGGTTCTTGAATCAAGCAGTGGAGATCTACGGTTCAGCACAAGTCATTCCACTGAACTACGTGCTCTCTACTCTTAGTTCTATCCTTGCAGGTAAATGTTGATCAGATAAAGGCATCAATCTTTGTTTCCCCCTTTTCCACCAAATGTGAGTGTCAGGGCTCCAACAAATCCACCTTCATTCAAATCAAAAGTCTCTAGCCACACCTCAGAAAAAGAAAATAGGTTTATTAGAAATTGCCATGTTGGCGTGTGGCTGGGTGCAGCTGATACTAAATTACATCATACATTTCCCCCTTGACCCTGGTCTTTCCCCCACCCCCTGGATGTGACTTCTCCAATGGGACACATCCATCTCCAAGAGTCATCCATCATGCTCTCCAATAACCTTCTTATGCTCTGACAATTTTGGGCTGCTGAGGTGGTTATCTAGGCATTTCAAGAATGCCTTGCTTTCCCTCACTCCCTTTTTCTGGCAGCTAAAAAGACCAAAGGAGTATCTTTTTAGTTGACAGTGAGACTAAGAGGGGAGACCTTGTGCTTGGGGTTTTTGGGAATCATGGACTCTTATATAGCATCCTTTCCCACAATTTCAAGTCCTCCAGGCACTTTGGGACTGTAACTCCTTTAATTCCCAAGCATTACTTTTTATTACCTTTATTGTCAGAGTACAACATGTGTACAATGAGATGGGCTGAGCCTCCCTTTGTGCCCCGCCTCCAACACAACTCACAGTGAGGACAGAAGTCCCTAACCCAGTCCCAATCTTATTGCACCACGTGACCTTGTTGCACAACGCGACGGCCCCGCAAGTCTATCATACTATGTATTGCTTAGTGGGAGCGGGAGCTATCGCCTCATTAATATCAAGGGCAAAAGTTGGAGAAGCTTATTCAATCAGGAGAAAGCAGAGGCACAGGGTTGATAAAAGCAGGCCCAGCTCCCAGGGTTGCTCATTAACTTTGATGAAAGCAAATTAATGAATAGTATTTAAAAAAGAAAGTAATAAGGGAAGATGGAAAACCTCATGTTTCAAAAGATGTTGGGCTCTTACCATAAAGTTTCCCCCAAAACGATTGACTGAAATCTGATTAGAACACTGGGGGTACTGTTGCACTAGAAATAAAAATTATCTTCAACACTATCTCTACGCTAGGGTGGCTTGTTTCAACACAGAACCTGGGAAGGTAAAAGTAAAATTGAGTTTTACTCCAGTATGTCCAGTATGTGGGCTTCAAAAATTTTAGGAAAGGGTTTTCTGCCAGTTGCTGGGTGGGCATGGCTATGGTGGGCATGGTCTAGTCAGCTTCCTGCACCACGGTGGGGGGGTATTTTTGCCCTATCCGGATTCAGGAGGCTTTCCTCGGGCAAAAACAGCCTCCCTGGGCACCGGAGGCTCCCTTTGTGAACTTCCGGGAAGCC